ATGCATACATACATAATCAAAAGACATGTGTAAGAATGTTCACAGCAACATTATCCGAATTAACTCCAAACTCGATATTATCTAGTTTGCTCAAGAGTTGAATGAGGCCTGGCACGGTGGCTCGTGCCTATAATCCCAGCACTTTGGGAGGCCAAGGTGGGTGGATCACTTGAGGTCAGGAGTTTGAGATCAGCCTGACCAATACGGTGAAGCCTCGTCTCTACTAAAAATACAAAAATTAGCCAGAAGTGGTGGCTCATGCCTGTAGATCCAGCTATTTGGGAGGCTGAGGCAGAATTGCTTGAACTCAGGAGGCAGAGGCTGTGGTGAGCTGAGATCATAACACCACACTCCAGCCTGAGCAAGAGAGCTAGGTTTCATCCAAAAAAAAATAAAAATAAAAATAAATGACCAGGCCCGGTGGCTCATGCCTGTAATCTCAGCATTTTAAAAAGCCGAGGTAGGTGGATCACTTGATGTCAGAGATTCAAGACCAGCCTGGCCAACGTGGTGAAACCCTGTCTCTAATAAAAATAAAAAAATTAGCCAGGCATGGTGGTGTGCACCTGCAAACCCAGCTACTCGGGAGACTGAGGCACGAGAATTGCTTGAACCTGGAAGGCACAGGTTGCAGTGAGCCAAGATCATGCCACTGTACTTCAGCCTAGGCGACAGAGCGAGACTCCATCTCAAAAATAAATAGGCCAGGCAAGGTGGCTCTCGCCTGTAATCCCAGCACTTTGGGAGGCCAGGTCGGGCGGATCACCTGAGGTCGGGAGTTCGAGACCAGCCTGACGAACATGGAGAAACACCGTCTGCACTAAAATACAAAATTAGCGGGGCATGGTGGCGCATGCCTGTAATCCCAGCTACTTGGGAGGCTGAGGCAGGAGAACTGCTTGAACCCAGGAGGTAAAGGTTGCGGTGAGCCAAGATCACACCATTGCACTCCAGCCTGGGCAACAACAGTAAAACTCCATCTGAAAAAAATAAATAAATAAATAAATTTTAAAAATAAAACAGACCAGGCGCAGTGGCTCACGCCTATAATCCCAGCACTTTGGGAGGCTGAGGCAGGTGGATCACGAGGTCAAGAGATCGAGACCATCCTGGTCAACATGGTGAAACCCCGTCTCTACTAAAAATACAAAAATTAGCTGGTCATGGTGCGCGCCTGTAGTCCCAGCTACTCGGGAGGCTGAGGCAGGAGAATTGCTTGAACCCAGGAGGCAGAGGCTGCGGCGAGCCGAGATCGTGCCATTGCACTCCAGCCTGGATAATAAGAACGAAACTCCGTCTCAAAATAAATAAATAAAACAGTTGAATGAATAGTGATATACTCACATAATAAAATACCATGCAGTGGAAGTTCCCATAGTGCCACTCCAGACTGGCTGCGTCTATGTGAGCAGGAACATGTGAGGTGGACACAGGTGCCGGCACTGAAAATGTGTGGATCACAGAAAGAAACCAGATTTCAACTGCATAGAGCCAGAAGCAAGTCTGTGAAAAACAGACTGGCTTATAATAATGTATAAAAAATTCATAGAAGGTTCTCAATTTGGTGGCATCCTAAAAATACACATAGCCAATTGTTACCAATAGCAAGTTTGAAGCCTAAATTAACTTTTCTAAATTATCAGTAATAAATTTCAATCGGCCAAGCTATAGGAAAGGCTGAATTTATCTTTCTGTTCTCCCCATATAAACTATTACAAAACCATTGTCATTCTACAAACAGTATGAAGCCAAAAAAAGAGGAAAAAGTATTACAGAAATATGAGAAGCAGTGAAAGAACTGTTATTTTTGTGTATTTTGTGATATGTGCAGTATTTCTTAGCATCTTAAAAATTTGTAGATGCGACAATTCTTATTCTAAATAATCTTATATCTAAATTTTTTATTTTCTTTCTTTTTATTTATTTTTTTTTTTGAGACAGAGTTTCGCTCTTATCGCCCAGGCTGGAATGCAGTGGCACAATCTAGGCTCACTGCATCCCTGGCATCCTGGGTTCAAGCAATTCTCCAGCCTCAGCCTCATGAGTAGCTGGGATTACAGAAATGCACCATGCCCAAATGATATCTGTATTTTTAGTAGAGACAGGGTTTCACCATGTTGGCCAGGCTGGTCTCAATCTCCTGACCTCAGGTGATCCACTCGCCTCGGCCTCCCAAAGTGCTGGGATTACAGGCTTGGGCCACCATGCTGGACCAACTTTGCATTTTCTTAAAGAGGACCCCTGAAATTGTCTAAGTTTCTGGCCCAACAAAACTGGCTCAACCCCATGGGGGGATTTTAAAGGCAGAGCTGTCTACCATACTTCTATTCATACATCACATAAAAGATAACAAGCACCCACGTCGGTGAAGGCTGTCATCTGTACTTGAGGTGGGGCTGTGGTCATTCCCTCCCTAAAACCCACCATCACGATGTGGGTGGCTGGAACTGGAAGAGCAGGGATGACTCCCAGGGTCACTGAAGGAAGAGTGGCACAGAGCCACAGAGGGGGCAGGCGAGGGAATTGGAAGCCTAACCCCTGGGACAGGGAAGCCTCCTAGGATTGAGGCAGAGGAGAGATGGAAGCAGCTTTTCCAGGGCCACCTTGAGTGGAACCAGTGTCTAAGAGAGAAGGGACAGTGCACCTTTAACTCTTGGGAGGTCCCTCCCTCCGCTCCCTCACCTTTCAGCATCTAGAACCCAGACTCCATCTCAGGGGCAACTGAGAGAAGCTACCAATAGAGCAGCAGAATGCTAGGTGCTGGTGAAGGGTGGGCATCTGGGGCCACAGCAACTTTGCCAACACGCTTTTTACTAAGGAGGATTTCAAAAGGATCACCACTCACAACCTTTATACCCGAACCAAGCCATTTGGCTAAAGGATGTGTTCTCCAGTCAGCACCCGATTGCATTAGAAGACAATCTGTCCCTCTTTACACAGGTTCCGATGACCTTGTGTGGCTTCTGTTTGTCCCTGCTGCAAACCATTCCAGCCATTCCCTCAGCACTGCCCGGCAGGCAGGAAGCATCCGCATAATGCCCGAGGGGGAGCCCCAGCAGCCAGGGCTTCCTGACCGGACTCCTAATGGAAGCATCTTTATTTCAACCCTCTCCTGCGTTTAAAAAAAGCTTTTTTTGTTGTTGGCAAGTTGCGAAGACATGAAATATCTCTTAAATAAGTTAAAAGTCATAGGAGCCTTAGAACTGTCCCTGCTCTATTGCAAGTTCCTGATGCACATTTGTTAAATAATAACACAAAATTTAAAAATCTGTTTCTTCAAGGACCTAAATTTGAAAAGTACGGAAGCCTCTAACTTAACGTTAATCACCAGGGTTTACACAGCAGCGTCTGAATCCTAAGCTGGGTTCTCAATGCCTCAAGAAAGGAAAGGTTTTTGGTAGAACCTAAAAGTTCCTCAATATCTGGCTGATGCTTGCTCTGGAAGGAAAGCTAGGAGGCAGGAAAGGAGGGAAGGAGAGGCCGTGTTTCATGCACACAGCAGACCTGCTTTCCAGGAAGAACACTTGCGCTGAAGTTACAAGCTTCATCTGCCTTGCAGGAAGGTTTAGGGTCCTCCTTTTCCTATAGGAAAGGGTCAGGACATAAGGATGGAGTTTCACAACACTTTTAAATTCATTCATTCTTTACAGGCTGAGTCTTGGGTCCTTAAAACCAGAGGGAAGGAAGGCCCTTCAACAAAAAACGTGTCCACTTAGTAAAAACAGGATTAGAGGATTTGCACCAAGGTAAAGCACTATCCATACTTTGTGACAACTCACTTCAAATTTTAGATTGGTAACAGTCTTATTTTAATATCTAGGGAAAACCGGTACAGCATGTTCAAACTGCCAGACCTCAAAAAAAAAAAAAAAAA